TGAGCCATTTTCTTCTATCTTAACCTTAGATTCCAGAAAAATAGGACTGATCTGAAAATATCATGTGACAAGAGTAGAATCTATCTCCAGGCATGACTGACATTTTTTGGGTGGTACTGGGGCTTGAACTCAGGACCTTGTGCTTGCTAGGCAGGCCCTCTACCACTTGAGCCCCACCACCAACCCACCAATGACTTTCTAAGGAGATCATCGTTATTATTTTTTTTTTGGTGGTACTGAGGTTTGAACTCAGGGCTTCAACAAGCCCTCTACCACTTGAGCAATGTCCCAGCCCTGCTAATAACTTCCTTATCAGTGACAAAGTCCTGCTTTACCAATCCTGAGATAGGATCATCTGGCGCACACCTTTAGTTGGGACTGCTTCATTATGCATACCTTTCTCTCCCTGCCCCAATTCTTCCTCTACTTAGACCTAAAGCTCATGTCAGTACCCCAAAGATAGGCTTACTCTCCCTATTCCTGTGAGTGGCCCTGGAGTTAATAGATCCCCTTCCTCTGACTCTCACCACTATTCGTCTCTTTAACTGTCGTATTGGGGTCAGTGGGCAAACCTAACATGTTCCCTAGATTTGGGCTCTTGGTCTTGGACTCAGGTTACAGTATTGGCAAGTGAGGTCACCTAGGGCTATATAGCTTTACTGTCAGTGAAATGGTGACCCTGGCAAGGTTTTGTTTTTTTTTCCCTTGAGATAGGGTCTTACTGTGTAGCCCAGGCTGGCTTTGAACTTGAGATTCTCCTGCCTCAACCTCTCGAGTGCTGTACTACAGGTGTGAACCACCACACCACACACATTGAGCAGAGTGATGGTAGATCTGAAATTTCCAAGGTCTACTCTGTCTGCTGTCCTGAAAAGAGAATGGGGAAGAAAGTGGAGTAAGAGGAGAGCTGATGGTAGCTCAGCCCAGGGCATTAGCAGTAGAGGTTAAGATATGGTTGCGTGTTACTCCAGAGGCACCTGCACACCCGTGTTTATTGCGGCACTATTCACAATAGCCAAGTTATGGAAACAGCCAAGATGCCCCAGCACTGACGAATGGATCAAGAAAATGTGGTATCTATACACAATGGAATTTTATGCAGCCATGAAGAAGAACAAAATGTTATCATTCACTGGTAAATGGATGGAATTGGAGAACATCATTCTGAGTGAGGTTAGCCTGGCCCAAAAGACCAAAAATCATATGTTCTCCCTCATATGTGGACATTAGATCAAGGGTAAACACAACAAGGGGATTGGACTATGAGCACATGGTAAAAGCGAGAGCACACAAGGGAGGGGTGAGGATAGGTAAGACACCTAAAAAACTAGATAGCATTTGTTGCCCTCAACGCAGAGAAACTAAAGCAGATACCTTAAAAGCAACTGAGGCCAATAGGAGAAGGGGACCAGGAACTAGAGAAAAGATTAGATCAAAAAGAATTAACCTAGAAGGTAACACACATGCACAGGAAATCAATGCAAGTCAACTCCCTGTATAGCTATCCTTATCTCAACTAGCAAAACCCTTGTTCCTTCCTATTATTGCTTACACTCTCTCTTCAACAAAATTAGAGATAAGGGCAAAATAGTTTCTGCCGGGTATCAAGGGGGTGGGGGGGAGAGGGAGGGGGCAGAGTGGATGGTAAGGGAGGGGGTGGGGGCAGGGGGAGAAATGATCCAAGCCTTGTATGCACATATGAATAATAAAAAAATAAAAATAAAAATAAATAAATAAAAATATGGTTGCGTTTTGGAGACACTTTGAAGGTAGTGTCAGCAGACAGAAGAGGTATGGACTTTAAAGAGAGACATCAAAGAGCACTGCTGTTCTGTCCTGAGTTATAGGAAGGATGAGTTGCTATCAGTTGAGCTGAGGAAAGGTAGCCCAGCATCAGGAGTTCAATTTCACACTCAATGAGGTGTAAATGTTTGGCTAGAAATAGAAATGTGTCTAAAGCGCTGACTGGATGAGATCACCAGGGCATAAAAGCAGATGAGTCCAGGGGTGCAAAGATGGTTCAACATACACAGATCAGTAAAACATAAAAAGCACATCATAGAATGAAGGACAAAAAGCACATGATCATCTCAATGGATGCAGAAAAGCCTTTGGCAAAATTCATCATCCCTTCACGACAAAAATTCTGAAGAAGCTAGGAACTGAAGGAATGGGAACATCACAGAGGTGATATATGACAAAGCCATAGCTTTGTCATGGAATGGGTAAGAGCTGAAATTATTCCTTTTGAAGTCAGGAATGAGACAAGGGTGTCCACGCTCCCCGCTCTTATTCAATATAGTGCTAGGAGTCTTAGCCAGAACAACAACAACAACAACAAAATAAATAAAAGGGATACAAATAGGAAAAGAAGTCAAATTATACCTATTGACAGGTTGGAAGCGTGGCTCAAGAAGTAGAGCACCTACCTAGCAAAATGAAGCCCTGAGTTCAAACCCTAGTACCAACAAAAACAAAAACACCCTCCCCCCAAAAAAAACCTCTATTTAGAGATGATATGATCTTATACTTAAAATGCTCCACTAAAAAACTCTTAGATCTGATTAATGCTTTCAGCAAAGTAGAAGGATACAAAAAAATCAGTAGCTTTTCTGTACACCAATAACAAACAGACTGAGAAAGAAATCAGGAAAACAATCCCATTCATAATAGACTCAAAAAAAAAAAAAAGCTGGAGCACGATGACTTACACCTATAATCTCAGCAATTCAGGAAGTGGAGATCAGGAAGACTGAGGTTTGAGGCCAACCCAGACAAAAAAGTTAGTGAGACCCCATCTTAACCAATAAGCAAGGCATTTTGTACGTATCTGTCTTCCCAGCTATTTTGGATGTATAAGTAGGATCAAGATCCAGGCTGTCTGGGGTGAAAACTTGAGACCTTATCCCCAAAATAACTAAAACAAAAAGGGTTGCAGGTCTGACTTAAGTGGTAGAGTGCTTGCCTTGCAGGGACTCAGAGTTCTAACCTCAGTACTACCAACAAACAAACATGCAAAAGAACACCCAACAACAACAGAAACCTAGGAATAAGCTGGGTGACTCAAACCTGTAATCCTAAATGCTTGGGAGGCTGAGATTGGGAGGATCACTGTTCAAGGCCAGCCTGGGCTGGGCAAATAGTTAGTAAGACCCCATCTCCAAAAATAACCAGAATAGAATGGACTGGAGGAGGTGTGGCTCAAGCAGTACAGCACCTGCATTATAAGTGTGAAACCGAGTTCAAACCCCCAGTCCTGGGCTGGCAGAGTGGTTCCAGTTCAAGTGGTAGAGAGCCTGCCTAGCAAGCTCAAGTCCCTGAATTCAAACCCCCCAGTACCACCACCTGCAGAGAGAGAGAGAGAGATAAACAACAAATGCTGGCTAGGATGTGTAGAAAAAGGAACCCTTATATACTGTCAGTGGGAATCTAAACTAATGTAGCCACTATGGAAATCAGTATGGAGGTTCCTCAAAAAAACCAAAAGTAGACCTACCATATGACCTTGCATTGAAGGAATGAAGTTAACATACAATAGAGATACCTGCACACTCATGTTTATTACACCAGCACTATTCACAATAGCCAAACCATGGAAGCAGCCTTGGTGCCCTTCAACAGATGAATGGATTAAGAAAACATGGCATATATACACAATGGAGTATTATTCAGTCATAAAGAAAAATTAAATTGTTATGTGCAGGTTTGAAGTGTTGCGGGCCGGTGTCGAGGGTCCTTGCCTTCACAGGTCAGAGAACTGGCTCATGGGGCAGCTGATTGACTCGTGAAACAAAGCTGGTATACAAACTAGGATTTATTAGAGAGAAAGGAAAGGCTATAGCTAGAGCAGTGCAGCAGAGCCCGGAAACCAGTAGCTCGCTGCTCAGGTGAAGGCTGGGGCTTTTATGGACGTTTTAACTCTTGGTTAGGGGGGCTCTTTTCATTGGCTGTGGATTGGTGGGTTCTCTTAGGTGAACTGGTCTGTTTGCCCCTTACTGGGGGAGGGGAAACAATCTTGAGAGCATTTTGCTCCTCAGCCCTGTGGCAGATCTATCAGGCCTGGTATCTCCTCTTCAGGATGCAGGAATGCAGGTTTACAACTCCTTCTCAGGATGCAGGGATCACAGTGCTCTCCATGGGGGATGGGATACTCACTCATCTGCCTTAGGGCTCCAGACCCAACAAAATTATGTCATTTGCAGGAAAATGGATGGAACTAATGGATCAGTGTTAAGTGAAATAAGCCAGACTCAGAAAAACAAATGTCCCATGTTTCCTCTTAAATGGGGGAAATAAGACTATATATAAAAATGGGGGGAAGGAAAGTTGGAGAAAAGAAAGAGCAATAGTGGTTAATCTGATCAAGTACAATATATACATATATGGAAACAGCATGGTAAAATCCTTTTGTATAATCAATATACACTAAATTGAAAAAAAACATAAGCCCTTCCCCTTACACACACACATACATGGAGAAGAGATTCTTCAAGGTTAGAGTCTGGCCTAACTCCAACTTGAAAGAGTTTGAAGAGGAGGAGTCAGCAAAAGAGAACAAGAAGCAGTCAGAGAGAAAAACCAGATGGATATGGCGTACTGAAGGAGAGGCTATGGGGACCATCTGAGAGCTGAGATGGGCCCTCTATTCAGGCCAGGCTATGTCCTTGAACTTTCCAGGGTGTTGGGAACCCTTCCATTAAGACCTGCTTTTTGGTAAGCTGAGACCCCTCCCCTTATACCTCTCCCTCCCTTCCTCCCCCCCAAATCTTATCACCACAGCTTGTTTTTGCTCTCCCTTCCCTCTCACACCACACCACACAGAACAGATGGCTATCAAGACTATTTATTAGACTCTACTCGGCAGCACTCCTCCCACTACATGTCTAACCCCAGTCACCCACCCAGGCCCAAGGGGAGCAGCCCTGAGCTTGACTCCAGACCCCCTGCCAGGCTTCCCTGTCACACAGCCTTGGCCTTCTCGGTTTGCCACAGGTGGTGTGTTACTCCTTTGATTTCATATCCTCCTCCGACTGTGTGATGTAGTCCATCTGATTTAAATCACCAGGGTCCAAGGAGAAACTGAAGTTGCTGTCGGAGGTGCTACAGTGATATAACACTGCAGGCAGAAAAGGTGTGCTTGAGCCCGAGTGCTGGCTGCGCCTGCGCTCCACGTCTCCGCACTCCCTGCTCACCTTTGGTAACATTGACTTTGTTGGCCGCCAAGATGTCCGCCTGAATGCTGTCTATTTTCATGTACAAGTTCTCAGCGTTGCTCTGAGGGCAGGAGTGAGTGGGTCTGGGCTGGGGAACCAGGGAAGCGCGCCCTTGGAGTTGGTTTTGGGCATAGGGGAGCTGCTGTGAGCCTTGACTGAAAGGGCAGGAAGGGAACCAGGAGACGGAGGAGGCGCCCAACCCAGGACCATTCCTCCTGTTGAGTGTGGCCAGGTCTATTCTGTCCCGACAACCGGGCGAGCGCACTTACAAGGAAGAGCTGGTAGAGTTCCTCCCCCATGGACTTGCGCACGTGCTCCTCCACCACTGGGAACATTTGCACGAAGTACTGCAGCAGATGGGAAGGGCGTCGTGACTGGGTCGGTGACCATGACTGCCCGTGCCCCACAGTGCCGCCCACAGCCCAGCCGGTCCGTATACCTCCAGCGTGACGCTGGCCAGCCGCTGGCTGTTGCTGTGGTCCGTGTTGCCCATGGCTGCCATCAGGCTGTGGATCACGCGCAAATGCAGCAGCTCCTCAGCGACGCGCAAGCTGCTGCGCGCCAGGACCCTAGGTGGGGGAGTGGGGCTGTGGAGGGCGGGACTCTCCCTTCGCTGCAGGGTGCACCCGCAGCTGGGTAGCGCCAAGCCTGGCTTGCTGCAACCACCCGCATTCCCTGCCCGCTTACAAAATGGTCTTGGCAGCCGCGGCCTGCTGCAAGAATACTGGCAGGTGGGCAGTGAGCTGGAGAACCGCGGAGTCTGTGGAAGCGAGCAGCTGTGAGGCAGGAGGCCCTGTCCCTCCACCCGGCGGTCCCATCTAAGGGGTCCTACCAGTGAGGATCTTGGGCTGCAGTTTGGACGTCTCCTTGACGGATGGTATCAGCATTGCCACGAGGCCCTTGAGCAGGGGCAAGCGCACATCATAGTTGACCAGGTCCTTTATCAACTCGATGGCTAGGGAAGGACAGAGACACTGGAGAGGCCAGAGGCAAAGAGCCCATCAAACCACATCGTTTCCCCGTTTCCCTTTTCTCTGTCATTTCCATCACTCTTCCTAGTGTCTTTTGTTGTTGTTGTTGTTTTGTTCTTGAACGCAGGACCTATACCTTGAGTCATTCCACTAGCTCTTTTTTGTGAAGGGTTTTTTCGAGATAGGTCTCACAAACTATTTGCCAGGGCTGGTTTCGAACCTTGATCCTCCTGATTGCTGTCTCCTGAGTAGCTAGGCTTACAGGTGAGAGCCATGGGCACCCAGCTTCCTAGTGTCTTTTAAGGCCCAGTGCTGTGCAAGGCCTGGGTAAGAGCCGGGAAGACAAAATTTAACCTCTCCAGCCTTGGAGAATCTTTCTGACTGACAGTTATAAGTCCTTCTTTGCCAGGCACTGTGCTAGGGCTTTCTATATAATATCCCACGTAACAGCACCATGCCACTTAACATGACTGTTACCTCCATTTTACATGTAAGGAAATGAAGCACAGAGAGTAAAGCACCTCACCTGGGGGGGGGGCGTTGCTCAAGTGGTAGCGTGCCTGCCTAGCAAATGTTGAGGCCCTGTGTTCAAGCCCCAGTACCACCAAAAACAAAAAAGCACGTGATCTAAGTAAACAGGTAAGGAGTGGTGGAAGCAAAAGGAGAAGAAGATTTGGTTAGGAAGGAGAAGGGTACTAAAATTTATTGGGGGGCATTTCCTGCAGGTCTTTTCTGTAAAGACCATTCATTCATTCATTCAGCATTCATTCAGCCTTTTGGTAAACCTGCATTTGAATACCTGTGATGCCAGGTACTGTACTGGGTGTTGGGGATACAGGGCAAATTCATTCATTCAATCAACTTTCCTATATGTACAGATCCATAAATGGTAGTGACGATATGGTGCTAAATGCTGTGAAATGCAGTAGTGGGGGTGACTGAATGTTTTTGTAAGGAAAAGAAAGAAATCATAGAATGGCAGGACTAGAAAGGGGCAGGCTCTGGTACATCAAGATCAAGGCTACTCTGAACAACAATGTGTGAGGCTCTAGGTTCTATTCCAGCACCATTTTTTTTTCATTTATTTTCTTCTGGATATTTTAGTTTCCAGGAGGGGGATTAGTCTAAATTGCCTAGCCCAAAGTCTGCTTCATCTAGCTATTGCTACTCATTCTTCTAGACTCAGCTCAGACTGAGGATGTCTCTGACTGTTATCTCCCTTCCTCTACTCTCCACGCAGGAATGACTGTCCTGCACCTCTGACCCCACAGCACTATTAAAATCTGTCTCTCCACTACTGTGTGAACTCCCAGTGGCCATGTCTGCACATCTCTGTTTACACAGCCTCAGAGCACTCCCAAACACAGTACATAGTCCATAAATGTTCTTGTTGAAAAGAACTGACTGGATCTTGCATTCCTGTAGGACAAAGACCACTTGGGTCATAGCAGCCTAGGAAGCTGCTTGGAGACTAACAGCTAGGTTATAGATTGTTTTGGATAAATGGTCACCAAACTGTGGTGCTATAGGGAGGTAATGGAACCTTTAAGGGATGGGGCTTAGTGGAAAGAAGTTAGTTATTGAAGGTGTAATCTTGAAGGGGCTATTGCAATCCTGGCCCCTTCCTGTCTTTGCTTCCCAGATGCCTTGAGGTGAACTGGCTTCCTCCATCACGTGCTCTTGTCCTGATGTACTGTGCTGCCACTGGCCCATGGTCAAGTGACCATGGACTGAAACCTTTGAAACAGTGAGCCAAAATAAACCTTTCTTCCTTTTAAGTCGATTTTCTCAGGGATTTGTTACAGTAATGGAGAGTGAACTAACACCATCCCCAAGGAGGTTCTGTACTGTCTACTGTAGACCTCCTCCATACTGCAGTACCAGAACCATTCCCAGCTTGGATTCTTCCACAGGCTGGAAAACCAGAACCACTGCAGCTCTACCTTTACATCCTCCACAGCAATCCCTGCATCCTCCACAGAAAACATTTTATTTTTTTGTGGTGGGTATGGAACCCAGGGTCTTCCACATTCTAGACAAGAACTCTACCATAGCCATTTTTTTTTTAAGAGTAGAGAATAAAGTCAGGTGCCGGTACTTGACATATATATATATATATATATGGCACATACCAGCTACTCAGGAGGATCACAAGTTCTATAATAGGTGCTTAGAAACTATTTTTTCTAAAAGCACCAATTTTTCACTTAGGCCTGCAAATGCTCTGCCTCCATTTTGCATCCATCTCCTTTCCTCTGAGCCACTATCCTCTGCAGTCACCTTGCAGTCCATGAAAGGCAGGACTGATGGAAAAACATCTTGGGACAAAAGTCTCTGAAACTGCCTCCACAACCCAGGCAATAATGACTTTCTTATAGTGACAAGGCCTCATCTGACTACCTTGTGGGACCACACATTTGACTGGGATTGTTTGATAATTAAGCATACCTCTCACCCCTACCCCAATTCTTACTTTATTTAAACCTAAAACTTGTGTTGTATCCTGAAGATGGGCTGAAATGCTTACCCTTCCTTTCCCATGTGCCAATGGCATGCAATAAATCTCCTTTCTCTGAATTTCACCATTACTCATCTCTTTAATGAGATAAAGAGATAATTGCATAATGGGGCAAGTGGCCAAACCTATCATGCTAAAATCCCTGGATTTGGGCCTCTGGTACAGGATTCTGGTTATAGTTCAAGGCCAGCCAGGGCAAAGCTACCAAGATCCAATCTCAGAAACAAAATGCACCAGTAATGCCAAAACAAAAACAAAACACCAACAAAATGGCTGGGGGTGTGACTTAAGTGGAACAGTGGTTTCTTAGCATGCGTGAGGCCCTGGGTTCAATCTTCAGTCACACACACACACACACACACACACACACAGAGGGGAGAAACATTTATTACCTGTAGCAGGTAAAGACGGCATGGGAGTTATTTCCAAAACAAATCTTCCTGAACAAAGGAAGCATGGGGATTTTATTGGGGAGCCTATACATATTTATATAGGAAAGCACTTTAGAAGCGGTACATTTCAGAGCACACTCAGTTTAAGAACATAGTTTAAGAAGGAAAGATGGCAGATACATTTTTGGCCATATGTAGCTCAAGATCATGATACATGTTTGAAAGATTAAAATGGCGACAGGAACATTTTGGAAATGTTCAGTTTTCGTCACAAAGATGGTGGACAGAAACCTAGTGTTGGTGGCTCACACCTGTAATCCTAGCTACTTGAGAGGCTGAGTTGCAGAGGATCATGGTTTGAGGCCAGTCTGGGCAAATAGTTCTTGAGAACCCCCATCTTCAAAATAACCAGAGCAAAATGAGCTGGAGTTGTGGTTCAAGTGGTAGAGAGCCTACTTTGCAAGCATGAAGCCATGAGTTTAAACCTCAGTCCCACATAAAAAAGATGGTGGACAGGAACACTTCTGGGCATGTCTATCTTTCTCTAGAAAGTTTTAGCTGCAGCTGGCAAGGAGAGCTTGGGAGTTATTTCCAAAGCAATATCCCAGAAGTGACCAACACCTCATGAATGCTCACTTCAAATGAGCCAGGTGAAGGGATGTGACCCTTCCTCTGTAGAAGGAGACACAGGCACCTGTGATGTGGCCAGCAAGAGGAACTACATGGGTATACAGAGCGCACAGAAAGGGTCCCCACAGGGAACTGTTCAGCGCTTGGAATCTTTCCTTGCTTAACTCAAATATGTGCTAGTTGTTTATAACCTTGTCAGAACACTGTTACTGACAGTTACCTACACAGTGGTGGTCTTGTAGGCTAGGGAGACCCCATCCTTCAACTTTCACACTGCATACTCAACTCTTCTGCCTGGTGGCTGAACACTGAAAGCTGCAAACATGGCCAGAGGGGTGGGAGTTGACTTCTCCACTAGAGCAGGAAGCCAGTTTGGGCTTGTGTATGGACCTAAGGAAAGGCATGGGAAGGCAGCCAATACAGAGAGCCAGCTCATCTCCTTGAAATTGCCCCTTTTGCCAGATCCTGGGAGCTTTCCATCCATCCCCAGGCTCCAGCCACACACCTGGGCACACCAGAAGGTCCAGTGCTAAAGTCCCACACAGGGTCTGTTTTGTCTCATCCTGTTTTACCCAGTCACAGAATCAAAAATTCACTCCCGGTTGGGAGATTCTCAAGTACTCATGTGCTACCTCTTCTGGTGCTATGGGCACTCTGGGGACAGGTCTTCTGGTGCAGCCCTTCTCTCCCTGGACCTACCTCATCCAGAAACAACTGCTTCACCTAGAAATACCTCCTACAAAGCTGGGTATGGTGGTACAGGACTGTAATTCCAGAACTCAGGAGGCTGAGGCAAGAGGATTCTGAGTTCTAGGCCAGCCACTGCTCTGGGCTTTCCCTATTATCCAGACTTTCCAGGGTAGCTTTTGTAACCCAGCTGGCCACCCCTGCAGCCTCTGGCTGCTCAGATGTAGTTCTAATTTGGAATCACAGATCTGACAACATTAGGGAGGAAAAGGGAGAAGCGCTGGGAAGATGCAAAGCACACAGAGCCTCCCTGGCTTCCCCTAAACATTCTGATCTGAACAAAGTCAGAGCCAAGGCCACCTCTGAGTGTTTGGCAGCCATAGTTTGCACTGGTGGATACCTGAAGCTTCTAAGTCTTTCCCTCTTCTTCTTTCATTGTTTGGGATAGTCTTTGAACATTTTTTTTTTTTTTTGGTGGTACTGGGGTTTGAGCTCAGAGTCTCATACTTGCTATACAGTTGCTCTTTTATTGTTTGGTTAGGAAACCACATCTCCCCTCTTCTTGAATTAGTGCAGCTCATGGGTGCATCTGAGTGGTTTGCTCCTCCTTTCATCTGACTACATTTGGCTTTGACAGCTGCAGTGTATCTCTCATTAGTAGTAGCTGGACTCTTCCCAGACACAAGCTGGCAGCTCCTAAGGTGCCAGGGCACTCTGGGACTCTGGGAAAATGTCTGTCTGTGCCCGAGATATTCCT